GACCCCCCCCCCCCACCGCCCCCCACCCCCCCCCCGCGCCCCCCCCCGCCCCCCCCCGCCCCCCCCCCCCCCCCCCCCCCCCCCGCCCCGCCCCCCCCCCGCCCCCCCCCCCCCGGCCCCCCCCCCCCCCCCCCCCGTGATGGCGGGCGGAGACAGCAGAGGTACTCACATGCACACCACCGGTGGGCGCGCCAGACATGTACCGGCAGTAGGCAATATAGGTAAGTAGGTAGGCTTGAAATGGACCCTTGAATTGACCGAACTTGCGCCAATTCAGGTGAAAAAAAAACAAGAGGCCGATGGGGGCGTTTGCAGTGCATGTCGATCCTCTTCTTGCTCGCCCTGTTGGAGGCCACGCAGAGTGATGCTCATTGAAACCTATCGAGAATAGAAAGAGGGCGTCTACTACGCTCCGCGCTCCTCCAATCCTCCATCACTCCGTCCACCAATCTACAGAGAGCATTTGTTCTGCGTGCAGCAGCATAATCATCAAGCTCTGATCCGGTGTGCAGAAATGCATCCAGCTTATGGCCAGCCGCCAATATCACATCATAGGATCTTAGATAGTCCCTACAGTAGCCAGACGAGTGTTAGCAGGGCTTAGGACATGATGATCCGTGGTCTGCCGTGGACCGGAGCCCAACGAAAACCGTGCCAAGTCCACTACATACATGATATTCAACCCCCATGTAGCGAGAGTCTGCGAGAGCCTGCGGTGAGGTATTGTCTGACATCAGAGGCATCAGAGTCGGCATTGGACGGCAAGGCCCACTGTGGACATTTCCAAATGCTGGGGTGTCGGCAATTTGTCTCGACTCACAGCCGCCGCCAAACCACACACAGACAGACAAACCCACGGTGACTGATGCACCGGCAGCTGGCAGACATCGTACGACGTGTCTATCTCGTCTGTATCGTCTGCATCGTCGTGTAGAGCAAATCGTCAGCTGTAGGCGAAACAACTACTCAGCCCCCGCTGCCCATACAGACTAGGTGTTGAAACAGATGACTGGGTACGGGCGAAGATCAAGGCGAAGATCGAGAAGAAGCCGTTGTTTCATTGGCACAACAACTGAGTCTGCAACGAGCAGTTCATTCTTCCAGTGGATTCCGACTTCCGTGTGTTTCACTCATGCAAACCTCAAAGCATGGCAGACATACCTATCATGCTGTACTACCTACGATAAACTAACCACACACCAGATCACAAACAGGAACAGTTGCCAACTGACAATTGGATATGCTACTTAACAGCAACTGTCCTACACCATACTGATTACATACATACGCGCAGAAGCTAGTCTAGTACATGCCCGATCTGACTGCTGGGCGGGGGCGGCTTCACCGCCAAACAAGGGTTGGCGGTGCTCAGACAAGTGAACTTGAAAATCCTCATGCTCTCGTGAGCATAATCCCTACTAACTTACTTGGTTTACTTGTGAGCATAATCAAGGCTAACCAGAAACAATTCGATACTAGCTACATATGAGTTGACTGAGAGCGGGAAATGAGATGATGAGACCCAGCAAGGCATGGCTTATCGCACCACGAGCAACGATTGCCAACCAGAATTTGTGAATCCGAATATCGGTACGTGATACATGGTCCAACAAAGGCTGGGCAATTATGTTTCATTATCCAAATCGCGACAACTCAGAGACGACGTGACCTGTGCAAATCGAGTGGCATCTGCGCTACTGTATGGCAGACTGGTTGCATATCATATTGAAATACCAGTAGCGCAGACTCTGATATGCCGGGTCGGTAACCAATCAGAGAAACATGAATGGTAGCATATGATGGGGTTCTCCGACAAAGGAATAGCCCGAATGCCCCTGGGCCCAAAGGTGCCCTCATACCGTCGTACAGACTCCCTCATACAAATACGACAATATTCCAAATACCCTTCCCACACCTTGGACTCAACCAACCTCTACACGCACGCAACCTCCTTCCTGTACCTAGTGTACGAACCTGTCGGATCGAAAGTCCCTAGTGCATCTCCACCAAACTCTTGTACCGATGATGCTAGCACGAGCAAGCTACTGCACTCCGCCCGCCACCAAACACCATCCTCTTGCCGATGCCGAAGACGACTACGACAAATACCTATGGTGATGATGTCGATTGAAAACATCGAGGTTGAGTGTCGTGCCAGCCTCACAATCAGAACCCCCATTGCCACGCAGCAACATGACATCGTTCGAGTTAGCCGGGTGAGATCTTGTCGCAGGTCAAACCTCCCGTTCCAAAGTATGGGTCACATGCTTGGGTATGTTGCTCTCATACGAATGTGCGAGTGCAATTCCCTATTTCGATTAGTGACATAATGATCTACCGGAACAAAAACGGTGGGATCTGGTAATTCCAGTGACCTGGTTTGAGTGACGCGTCGAAGCAACAGGCAGACCCAATGCTGCAACGAGTTACGCCAAGGAGTGTCGGAGAGTTGCACCATTAGAGTCGGTAGGTATTTGGAAAACCTCCCTGGGCCGAGCTAACTAACCCTTACCTACCTCACTCAACCCTCGGCAAACACCCGGACAATCTCTCGCAACACAAACTACAGCCATACACTACTTAATAGTCTTCCATCAGCCAAGTTCTCGGCAGATGATTTCATAGGGTGAGATGGACAACTAGGTAGGAGGGAGACGCCGAGCGGTATACGATTATATTACCCTCATCGTTGTGCCCATCTTACAAAGACAGCACAGCCAGCCCCAATTATTTGTAAGCGTTGCTAGTGTCTCTGTTCGTAGTACATCGCGAGTTCGGCATCGTGGTCAATAGGGCCAATGTCCCATCCCATCCCATCTCCTGCATGCGGCAATTGTCCTCCAGCTCAGTTACCTACACAAGTAATTCAGTCGTAGGTAGAGGATCGGGATGAATCCGACAGATGGCACCACCTACCCAGATAGGCGCCTTTACCCCGAAAGGACAATGCATCGAAGCAGCACACAGGTGGCAATGTGATGCGAAGTTCACGCCGGTAGCCGTACGAGGCAAAGACATTGTTGCGGTCTATCGTCGGTCCATGTCGCTCAACTCTTATTCTCATCATATCTTCGTCATACGTAACAGCTGGTAGGTAGGTAGGCAAACGCATGGATTTCCACTACCAGCAAGTGAAAAAGCGTCCCGGGCCAACCAGTAGCCGCCACTGGTCTCGACAGACATACGACTAAGAAGCATCGTTCGTGAAGAATCGGCGTTGGCGAGACGTGACCAATAGAGAAATGCCCATTCGGGAAACCTGTTGGTTTATGCTACCCAGGTACCCCCTGGCCGAACAAGAGCAGAGCTCAGGCGAGAGCGGCTTCGCATCCTCGCATCCGCACTGCACCCGCCGCTGCGCTGCAGCGATGCATGCAATACTTAGCACGATGCGATTCGATTCACTTGATCGCATCGGGCGCCAAGGCTGTTTTTCTACTGAACCCCCGCCGATTTTCTCTAGCCCACGAGCCCTCCGTCGCAACATTACCGACCTTAAAACCGTACGATCTATGTCTTCGTCGCCAGGGACCAGGGAACAACGATCGAACCTCGTTCGATCTCTCGCCATCAGCTAAGTATGAGCTGTAGTCCCCTTGCTCTTCAAACGTAGTTGTTGTTCTTGTTCTTCCCCGTCTCAGTGGCCACTTTACATGGTAAAGCGAAGTACAAGGTATGATGTTCGCGATGTTACCCCCTCTGGCCACCCGTGCCTGAACGCCAATGCGCCGAACGTGATCGAGACTAGCGAATGGGCCCTGGTTATTCAGTGAACAGATCAGATCACTCCGGGTGCTCCCGTCAGACGGGCATTCTACATCCAGCGTCTAGCGAGGAGGCCGAGGGGCGTGACCTGGCCGATTTTTCCGAGATCACAATCGGTCGGTCAAATCAATCAATCGATAAACCCAAGCGCCGTACCCGCTCCGCTTCCGACAACGTCACGTCACGTCACATGCTACTACCCGTCAACCAACAGCCCAGCTAGGACCTCTCTCCAAAGCCAGGGCCAACAATTACCTATCTCAGTATCTGCAGCCTGTCCCAGCCCTACCTATTCCATCCTGTGATGATCGCAAGAAAATAGTAGGTAGGTATGTAGGTAGGTAGATCAATAGCGGATTTCCTCTCGCGTTGCAACCTAAATACCATCTGTAGAGTGGGGTTGCAGACAAAAGACGCCGAGATCAAACGTTGCGATCTACGATTTAAGCAGGCATTAATACCACCGAAGAATGAACCGATGGAGAAGATCAGAACGAAAAAAAAGAGAAAAAGAAAGGCATACAGTCCACGGCGAACGGCAACCACCGCGTAACCACGGCAGAGGTTCACCCCGCCCTTCCGCATACACATAGTTAATAACTTGACTCCAAATCGTTCTGGGTATTGCGATGCTGTTACGCTGCTGCTGGACATATCATATGTAATGTAATGTGATGTATTAATTATCTAGGTATTGTCTGTAAAGAAACGAATTACTCCAAGCGCTAAAAAAACTTCGTCTGTCTGATGCTCATTCCCATTCCCGTTTTCACTTCCCTGCCTTTTCTCGCATTTCTCGCTTAATTAGTGTCGCAGTGTGCCCTGAAACCCCCGGGTTTACGTCATTCCTTGTCCCCTGCTCTACCTGTCTGTCTGTCTGTTTTGTTTCTGAGTATATGATGTGTTTACATAATAATGTATGTGGTGTACGTAAGGCGAGCGAAGTAAGTAAGCTGGTCGGATGTTTTGCCCCTGGCTCGTCCCGACCGATGCATGGCACGTGCGCGTTGTCGCGAACTCAGAGCGAGAAAGTATCTCGAGATTTTGATGTTTAGATCAACATTATATCGCTCTCGCTCGCTCACTTATTGTTTTTCTTGCTTGTTGGCTTGTTTGCTGGCCTACTTAACGACCCCCGGACGAGTTGGGGGAGGAAGAAGAGGCATGGCTCCAGGCGTTATCAAAGTACTGGACCATCTGCTGCCCACTCTGACGCTCGCTGGCATACCCCATGGCCACGCTCTCGTGTGTCTCCCTGGAGCTGAGGTACTGATCCAACGGAGTCGGTTTGGTCGAGTGGGAAGGTTTCGAGGATGAGATGTACGCCGAGTCTCGGCTTGAGTGCTTGAGGAATGTCTCTTGGTGCTGCTCTTGCTGGGATCTCTGTTAGGGTACTCTACTTCGTCGGTCCAACGTATAGATAGACGGCTGTATTGGGTGAGGTGGATTGGGAGGAGATGGGTTTGTTGACTACTGCGTTTTCGCTCGACTTACCTCGAGTGAGCCATTTTGTCAATGCTTTTGAGTGTACGATGTACCGGTTGGATGACTAGGTGAGCGTGTGAGTGAAACCACCCCTGGATTTGTGATCTTCGTTTCTAAAGATGTGATATCAGGTAAGAGCGAGTTTTCGCGAAGAAGACCATGTGTGGGAGATTGAGTTGCTGTAGACTTGTGATCGTTGCTGCTTCGAAGACCTTGTCATGTCAATGAGGTTGTTCAGTGGCAGCTTTATATATCGTTCCCTTTATCCTGAACAATAACGTTCGATAACTTTTAAGCCTTGTTCCTCGTTGCTCCTGTCCCAAGGCATTCTCGAGAAGGGAAGAGAGAGCTGAGTGATACAATCGTGAGTTTCAGGTATCGTTGCCTGACAGGGACTGGATACCTATTACCCTTCTGTCCCTGGAGGATTTGAGTGTTCCGATGTTGACGAGAGAAGTGGTCAGAGTGCCCTTCGTTGTTATTGAGAGATGAGGAGGGATTGGGAGGGCCCCAGGAAGATTGGGAGTTACTGAGCCGGAGTGTCAGCAGGTACTTGTTAGTCTTGTCCGATTCAAGGGACCTAGGGACTTGAATACAAGCAGCCTGGATTTATATGTAGCCTGAGGCATATAGAGCCCTTGAAGCCTTAATTAGCGCAACAGTTAGTGCCCTACTATACTCCCCGAATTGATTCTGGCGCAGACAAATAGACAGAGACAGGGGATGGCCGATATGTGATACATTTTGCCGTAGCATAGAACCAAGTGCTTCTAGCGGCTCAGTTGCAGAATTCAACACTCACACGCGCTGCTCTAAGCGATACAGAGATCCGGTGTGGGAAATGAAAAGTGATCTGCGATCGAGATGCTAACCTCTCTGGAGAAATATCATAGACACTAGGAAAGCTTTTACAGATGTCGACTACTATATCAAATTCTAGGGTTCTCATGAAAAGTTCAATTGAAAGTTCATACTGAGACAACAGTATTAGAAAGGAAAAGACATAATATTCTATTTACTCCGTCAAGAGTACATACGAGAGCAGCTGTATCCTCTGACATGAACGAGAATCTGCTATGGAAATGAGTATGACTTTGGAAACCCCGGATATAAAGATATCATAAATGTTCCCAACATCATTTTTCATTCACAATTAATTAGCGTAGGAGAACTCAATAGGCCCAATAACATCAGAGCATCAAGGAAGTAAAAATATGTCCCAAAGATTCGCTTATGAAATGCAGACAAGTGTTCAAAATAACATAAACAAATAGAGGGCTGATACCGAAACGAACAGACAAGCACCGCCTGCACGATTATACCCTTTCTCATCCCTTCGTGCGCGAATTTGACTTCTTCAGCTGCCGCATAGCATCATCGATATCAGAGGTACTACAAGGCCGTTTGTGGCGGCATGCTTTGAGATGGGGTATTCGATTGTCTATCCGAGAGAACGTACTTGTGCAGTTTTCCATGGGACAGTGTATCCGGGGTCTAGGTCCATGCGTCTTCATGTGTTTCTTCATATATTTAGGCTGGTCAGTTTCGTATTTACATTCCTCGTATTTACATTTCATGCATTTCCCTTGTTGTTTGGGGGAGGCAGCTTTGGATGCGGGCTGCGAAGTCGGTGTTTGTGAAGCTAGTACGGACGACGAAGTGAGGATTGGTGGCTGTATCGCGGACGGTTCGTCTTCACATGGTGAAGCCGAAACAAGAGATAGTTCATCTGGTAGTAGGTCCGCCAGTTTTGCTGGTAGGCTGGCCCTCGTCGATAATGAAGTGTTGAGGTCATGGTTTTGAAGGAAGGTCTCATAATCAGTGATGGGCTCGACTATATTGGCACTGTTCGGGGCTATCTTAATCCTCAAGTTGGGCATAACATGAGAATCCGTGTGCTGCGCAAATGTAGATGGTAAGGTAGACGAGGAGGCGACAGTGTCTGCCACTTCTGGCACATTGTCAATAGAAACTAGAGGTTGGTTCCAGAGTCTAGTCCCGACATTGCTCCAAGTACCAGTGGAACGCGGGTTCAAAGGGCCGCTATGTGCACCAGTTTCGCCGTCGATAGCTGTCACACGATGGTTGGCTTTTTGGGGCGGTATGTTCACAGTATGGTAGCGACGAACGATAGTAGGCGTTTGTTCGTAAGTGCAAAGCGGCGTGGAAACAGTAGTGGACATTGGGATTCCACTGATAGTAGGTCCTGCAGGTATTTCAAACAGAGTAGGCAACTCTTGGGCTGGAGGTGTCTCTGAAATCGCAGACATTTCTGCGCGCACCTCTGATATACTAGAAATTTCTGATGGAGTTGGTACAAAGTGTAAATGCCCATGCTCGGATCCTGACCAGTATCGTGATGGACTGTTTTCAGAACTTGACGCGCCGGATAACTCTAAAGGAGAAGCCAATATCTCAGGGGCGTAGGTGCCCCGTATGTCTGTTGGCAGTTCATCCAATGTAAATCCGGGCTGACGGGACTGATCCCGATGATAAAGTTGACCATCTGGCGCTAGACTACTATTTGGAATCGATGCACCTTGGAGTCGAACCGAGCAGTTTGTACAAAACGCACAGTTTGATGTTGGCTGGGTTGCCGGCTGCCCGTTCCCTAGACCTTGGAAGAAATTCTTTAGCTTTCGCCCAAGATGGTCTTTATCCCACGAACACCGTCTGCCTGTCCGGACTCTGAAAGATTCGTACCGGTGGCATGTCGGGCACCAGAACTTCCCATCGGCGAATCTCTTACAGTGTTTTAGATGCAACAGCATAGCTTTAGAGCTCTCGAAATATTGCCAGCAATCTGCTAGGGGGCAACGTATTTGGCCGCTTTGGTCTCCGTGTTCGTCTTGTAGCCAATAGATTTCAAGCATTCTCGCGTAAAATCGAACCTTACTACAATCGTCCAATACATCCGAACGGAACCTTCAAAGTTCATTAGTAACAATTAGAGCAAGGAGGCACGTTCAACATACAGGCAGCTTGGGTCTGGCGCATAGCTTGTTTCCATACCCTGTCGGTAGGGGGGACGAAAGATAGCTTCCTGGAGCCGTTGAAGCTGCGGCGAGACCAGTTCCAGCTCGGATATGTAGGGAACAAGTTCCTTGCCGGCAATCTGATATTGGTTTCCGTTCATTCTGTTGGTATTCACAAGCTTTTGGCTAGAAGGGAACAAGGTCGGAGTGCACGCCATTTTGTGATCGTACGGATTTATTATCTAGAAAGAAAGGAGCCCGTAGATATCCCACAGATAGTTTGCACTTGATGGCATATATGGCATGTGATTTAACTCATTCTCTTGACAGCAGGGTTGCCCTGATTTTGACGGAAACGAGAAAAGAACGAAGGGATATGGTAGAGGCGGGCACGCTTCCTACGCACCCAAGAAGGGAGAGAAGGGGAACTGACGCAGGCGAGCTCGCACACATAGCTGCGTCAGCGTGTATTCTCAACCACTGCACGATATGCCGAGAACTCTCCCCAGCTATCGTCACATACTCCCTGGCTCAAGTTGGACATCCATGGCGTTTTCTGCATTTTCAGATGTCGATGGATATATCGTTTCTGATTCGCAAGAACACTCGGGTACTTCGGATGCGCGAGGAAGGGCACGCAGTCCTGGTAGAGATCAGGGAAGTTTCTCTCCCAGGTCACTGTTCAACTAGTCACAAAATATCCAATCAGCGGGCGTTATGAGATGCGAAGGATGAAGTGGAAAAAGGCAACCAAACTGCGTTGTTCGAGGTGGGGAGAGCAGGTTGCCTTTCCCTGGCCGTCAAACCAGCTCAACCCGAAGGGACCTCATGCAGAGGTGGTGATTCCCTGGCCAGGGCATTATAGACTAGCAGGCGACTTAATCAATAACCTGGATCCATGGTCGTCAGATTTACTTCGTCGCTATGCCGCCGATTTGCAGGGACCCGGCGCAACGAAGCAGGTAGGTTTCTGTGTACATCCCCTGGATTCACCCGTAGCAACATAATTGTGCTATCGCCTTAGTGTTGGTGCGGGGGAACACGCTTAGGTATGGATAAAAAGGGCAACCCGATCGAAAGAAAGGCGCTATGAAATCTTAGGGTGACGGTTAAGGGAACGAGTATCAAGCTGATTGTAAACGTTTTTCGAGAACTTTATGAAAAGCGAAATATTCAAATCTTTGAGATTCCCACAACTGATATAGAAACTGAGCAGAAGAAAGCCTGAAGGCTTAGTAGTAATATCGCCCCCATGAAGAGATGAATCTGCCTCGCAAAGAATAGAATTGCCAGAATAGGGGTAGCGCCGAGCGCCATTTCCTTCCCTCCTCATAGCCTCTCTAGCGCTGAGCAATGCATCTCTAAATTTAAACGCAACCAGACCCTCGAAAATCCGATACAGGCGAGAGAACTAGTGAAAAGTCTAACTAGTATATCGGCCAGAGTACCAATGAGGTACAAAAGCAACCTTCATGGCCTTCCTCTTTGGCCGACATAGGCCCCCGGATGACTGCCTCGTGTAGGACGACATATGGACCTACAAGGATAAAGGAGGGGTATGCTACGATCGTCTTCCAGAGCCTGATTCAACGAGAATGGTGAGATGAAGAAGACATGTAAAGCTGATAGTATACTGCGCAGCAGCATATCGTTTTCGAAACAGACATCCATGGCCGTAGCTATTGGCAAGCAATTAAATCATAATAAGCGAAGCGATAACATTTTGTTTGGGCATGAAGTTGTGAACCGAATCAATCGCAGTTGTTACTGTGATGCTTTTCGGTGTAGGGGCAAGGGGGTGGAGAAGGGGGATGGGGGGAGAAGGGCGGAGGGTTGGGCAACTCGTCGGCTGTGAAACCCAGAGGGTGTCTGGCAGGTGTCCTGACCACTGCCCGGAGGCTCTGCTCGCTCGAGATGTCTCCAAGACAGCAGTGCCCTTAGAATACAGCGATGTCCCATTGAGGGGTGGTGGCGTATGCACATTGGTTCCACCGTAACATCGACCCGACGCCACGTTGTCGCTCATACACCCTTCCATATTTGTAAAAGATGGCGATGAACTGGCGTCTCATGGCGTAGATCACGTTACAAGAGACTGCAAGTATTCCACTGGGGACATAGAATCTGGGAAGTTTGAGTATATTCAGCCGTCTGCTTGATGTTTAGCGGGGAGTGCACCTGGATAATGAGAGTACCACTTCACGAGAACACTGTTATATCGAATACCATTAGTCAACTTGGTCGCGGTCTATCCGCCTACCATGTTCCTCAATACAGACAAACAGTCAATAGCTCAAGATATCTATCTAGCTTAACAAGTTGATAGTTGCCCAGCTGACGTCGTTGAGGAAGACGCCCTGGGTATAGACACGTGACCAGCACTGTCAGCTGCCTAGCGAGCCGAAGCGGTACGTCATACAAGCCGCCAGTCTCCTGCAAGGTAAGACCCCAGTCACATCATATAATTAGTAACATCGACCATACTGCATGACAGTCATCAAATACGCTGCGAGCATACAGCCTTCATGGTCTTCATCATACATCAAAGAGAAACCCGTTGTCTCATTGGTTTCAAAAGACTGTGTTTAGGGGAATTCGAGACCTAGTGACATATCCCACCCCTAATTGTGCACAATGTCATACAGCCCATGAGAGATGACTGGCAAACCGGGACAGTATATGTCAGATGAAAACGACGCGGTTAGTCCTATTAAGAACTAATAACTGACTGCCTCATTATACCCCACGCGACAATAGAAAATACCGCTAGGACAAAATGGTAGTCGACCACCTGATACCAACTAGCTAGTGGTACGATAGATGAGTGTCAACTAGAAGGCCGCACATTGAGACATCCTCTACAATTCTCTACGAGACTCGTTCCGCTTTCTAACCAGGTAAATAACAAAGCATCGTTGAGATGAACGTCATTGATTATAAGCATCTATATCTAGAAAGGTATGTTAGATAAAGAGGCTGTCGGGATGAAGAGATTCATCCAAACCATGACAATTGCAGCAAATACTGCAAAATCGGATATATTATAAATAAAAGCAAAGGAATACGCACGTCTGCTCTCATCGCCCTTCGCACAGATCAGCCTCTATCGATTGCGGCGCAGACTAAAGGCCACGTGGGCCACTGCTATGCCGTTTTGTAGGACTCGGGTTGTCAATCTTATGAATTCGCTTGAGGTGCGCCTTCAGATTGTCTGGTCGGGTGAATTCAGAGTAACAGTTACCCTCAGGACATGGTATTACGGTGCGTTCCTCATGCGTTTTCTTGTGCTTCCGCAGGTATTGATTCTTATTTCCCGTCGGCTTCCATCCGCACTTATCGCACTGCAACTCCCGTTCGGGCGAGACCATTGTAGAAGAGGACTCCAAATTGGACGTTTGTGTACCCAGTGCGGGCGACGAGGTGGCGAATTCTGAGAAAGGTTGCACGACAAGCAGTTGTGCCGGTGAAATGGTTGTTTGTTGGCTTTCTGTCGTGATCATACGGTTGAAGTCATGGCCCCCTTTGGAGAGAATGCTTCGATTCAAATCGCGGTCATAGGCCTGAGATCCGTCCTGGGTTATCGCCATGTGGCGGTTGTCGTCGTATGTACTCGGAGTATCGAAGGAACATGGGCTAAAAGACATTTCCGCATGAGTAGCAGGTGAGCGGGAAACATCAGATTGCGGACTGGTTGTCCAGCTTGACACGCCTGGTAACTCGAAAGCCGAATGGTGCTCACTTGAATCTATTTCATATCGCTGGCTGTTGTGAACCGAAAATGTCAAATGGTTGGGTGGATGGACAGTAGATGCTTGACTGCTGTCTTGTGTCAATTCCTTCTGGTACGGATTCCAGTACGTAGAACTGTATCGAGAGGCTGACTGGTCGTTTTCTGACCCTTGTGGCGAAGTCCAGGGCTTTTGTGGCAGCTTTCGCATCATATAAAGTTCGTCATCCCACGAACACTCTTTGCCAGTCCGAACATTGAAAGATTCGCCTTGGCGGTATTTCGAGCAACAGAACACTCCGGTAGCGAACTTCTCGCAGTTCTTTACATGTTCCAGCATCGCATCAAAATGGGCAAGTTGTTTCCCACAATCCGTGAAAGGGCAACCCAAATAGTTAATTTTGCCGAGTATAACGAGCTCAAGCCATCTTGCATACCATCGAGCTCTAGCACAGTCGTCCACAACCCCAGATCGGAACCTTGAAATCTAGTGAGCACCAAATTGTAGTCAGGAACACCTGCTCAACATACAAGCAGCTTGGGTCTACACCATGACAGGTAGCCCTATCACGAAGGCAAGCAGTGCCGAGGTTAGGGATTTGGGGCCGTTGAGACCCTACGTCCGGTACAACTTCGACAAACCCTAATGGAGATCCGTTCGTTGCAATATAACCCACAGGTTCGAGGTGAGGATTGATTGCGGGAGGATTGCCCGCCATCTGGTTAGCGTTCGGATACATTATCTAGGGCGAAAGAGCACACGAAGCAGAGTTCACATTGACCGTTTACACCAGGTGAGTGTGAGGCATAGTATGCATTTGTATTTTGTCTATAGACAGCAGCACTGACTTCTTTGAAGTAATCGAGAATAGAGACGAACGCGGGGACGTTTGTGGTGGCATGAGGAAGGGTTCGAAGGGAAGTGCCAACGACTGGCACACATTCACAGCCATGCCGTGTCGTGGACTTCCGGCGATGGCAGAACTGCTGTTCATTATTGGGCAGCTTCTCTCGACAGAACGAGGAAGGGAGCAAAGTGGCAAGGTGAAGGTACATGCAAGTCTTCCAGTATAAAGAAGGGAGCGAAGGGATATGAAAGAGAGCGGTACGCATTTACAGACACGCCGGCGTACGCTCCCAACGACCGCCGATCCGCTGTCCATCGTCGGGCAGCTTCCGTTGACAAAGCGAGGAAGGGGGAGGGACAAGACGAAGGTACGTACAAGTCTTACAGTATAAGGAAGGGAGCGAAGGGACATTGGAAGAAGTTGGCACGCATTCACAGCCGCATCGTCGTGTCGAATGTATGGTCTATTGTTCTTTCTCAGACAGCTTCTGTCCCCTGTCCAATCACTTGAATTGGGTATGAAGTCTAAGTCCTGCATCCTAGTAGCCCTTCCCCATTTCTTATTCGCAGATACGGCAAGGAGCATCGGTCAGCCAGGAAGGGCACTGACTCTAGTGGCAGGGAAATTGGTTCTCGCTCTTCGCTGTCAAACTTGTCACAAAGTGTCCAATCAGCAGCCGCTACTCATACAAGCCTTATAAAGTGGAAAAATGAAACAGGAAAGTATTGCTTGACTGTGGAGTCTGGTTGCGTTCTCACAGCGGTACCTTGCTTGACTAAAAGGGATTGTATGCTGAAGGGCCATGCCTTCATCAGGGCCATAGGTATGTTGGCTTGTACCTTCAATTGATACGCATGATTCTACGGTTTGTGTAGATCTGGAAAAGAGTCTGAGGAGGCAAAGAAGTAATGAATTTGTACATACCCTAATTTGGCTTGGAGCATCATAACCGCCTTAAGTCCTAGCGATAGTCGGAGAACAGACCAAGGCGTGAAGAGGAGATTGATTGATGGTGTTAAACGTCGTAGGGACTATTCTGCGTTGCAGTTAGTCCGGGCCTCCGCAAGGGCACTGGGACGTGTTATGCTGTCCACTACTGTTCTATATACATAGTGGCTTCAGGGCCAGGCGGGAAGAGGACAGCGTGAGCGAAATAACAAGGAAGGTAAAGCTCTAATCGATGATGAGGAAATCATCTAACGAGATGGCTCCGAGCAGAATCGGAATACTGATAACTGAAGAGCAGACGCCGGAATATATATCGATGGTTTCGCCTCGACACAATGTTTCTGATGCCGACTAAAAGAAGTAAGTCCTTCGTGGGGGCGGAAGGCCCTTCATGCACGTCCATCATCGCCCTTGCGACGTTAAACACTATCAATCAATCAATTGAAAAGCTCTTCATGGATGGAAATGAATCAAATTTGGGGTGGCAGTGAACGTTCTCTTCTTCCCTTCTCGTACAACTTGGGCACTAATCAACACGTCTGAAGTTGAACGTGGGAAGAGTCCGTAATAATTCAAATGGGTGAGAATTAGCGAGGATCTACGTATATCGGAAGGGCAGTATGTCATCAGCCCACCCTCGAGCTCTTTAGCCCTTCTCTTCGAAATGTCATTAGTGTCCGGATAGCCACAGCCTGCAGGACACAAGTGGATTTACATGGATGAAGGAGGGGTATGGCTTGGGTATTCAGTCAGAGCCTCGTTCGAGGAGAACGAGAGATGAAAATAGTACAGGCCAAATTTCAAATTCTTGCGTCATCTTCGAATAAACTGGTTCAGTTCATGATCTAGGCCAGAAGGTAAAATCAACAAGACCATGCAAATTTGTGTTAGGTCTGAAGGTAGAACTGACTTGCTCGCCATATTTGCTGTGATTTATCTCCATGTATGAGAGGGGGATAGAAGGACCTGCAGGCTTGGACAATCAGCCGGCGAAGGGATCTGGTTAGGTGTCTGGCAGACCTTGTGGTCCCTGCCCCCCGCTTACCCGAGAAGTCGCTTGGGGTAAACTATGCATGTTCTGGAGTACTTTTATGATGCAACGAGTTCTCGTTGAGGTGTGGTGGCATATGCACCTTGGTTACACCGTAGCATCGATTCGACGCCACATCATTGTTCGTATACGCATATACGTTCAAGGAAAGCTGCTACTTATGACTCGCAATCCTGCGAGTTAGGTTGTTTTACGGGTGGCAGTGACTTTGGACAAGTTAAGCCTTGTAAACATCAAATACAGCCAGTTATCTTCATAATATCTTAGTGGGCCGTGCAAAGGGTCGAGGTGTAACTTCACCAAGCAGGACCTCACCGGGCAGCAGCAAAATAAACTTGATGAGTCAATTCAGTCACGTTCTTTCGTTTATCTGGTGCCACATCGCATACTACATAAATTATCCTTTAACCCAGGAGCAAGGAAGTCTTCGTTTTTAGGATACCCCTATCCACATCCAAGTCTAGTAGACCACGGTTATGGCTGCTTCGCGCGATCGCTTCCGGTAGGTTAGACTTCGTTTTAACTGCCCTCCTATAGTCCTGGCCGCAGCCCTTCCGTAGCCCCTATTAAAGTGAAGACCTATCTCGCCGCTATGTCCGGCCTGCGGTTCGGCTGCTTGCGCAGCTGTCGCGTCCAAGGTTGGTCTTCGTTCATAGCCAACTAAAAACCGAAGCCCTTCTATAGTCTGAATACCTTAGTGGCGTAAATATTTTGCGAGCATGTTGTCTTCATAGTGATCATCATACACTAAATGAATTCATTCTCGCATGAATGCGGGCAGAACTAACTCTACAGCATTTGAGAATTTAACAACTGGTGATACAAGCCACTTCCCTTCATAAGAATGTCACATAACCCATGAGGAAAAACTGGTAAACCTTTGAGGGAGCCGCACATCATAACGCCCTTTGTGCTTCTCTACGAGACTCCTTCCGCTTCGGCTGGCCCGCTGACCTAAGACTATCCAAGCTGATTCGGCGCCGTTTGACAAGGAATTCCGGGTGAGCCTTGCGAATGTGATTGGTGAGGTTGTCTTGTCGCGTGAAGGACTTATCGCAGTATTCGCAGGGGATCGCGTTACTTTGATGGGTCTTCAGATGCTTCCGCATGTATGGCCGCTGGTTCTCAGGCCTACCGGTGGGTCTGAAGTCGCAGCCAGCATGGGGACATTGGAGGAGGTCAGGTCCGGAAGACATGGAGGAGGGAGAGACGTCGCTATTGGATTGAGAAGGTGCAGATGTGGATGAAGAACGGCGAGGCCCTGAGTTCTCTTGCGGAATGAGAGATTCGTTAGGAAAATGGAGAGTATTGAATGGGAGAACCTCATTTGATTGTGAGATGATGATTGGGTTAGTATCGGCAATACCTAGCCCATCCATGTCCGTTAAGGGACCCAGAGTTTCTCCTTCATTAAGCAGCATATTGAAACCCCAATCTGGGGTTAGTGGTATGCTCGGCAGAGCAGACTGGCGGGTGTCTACTGTCAGAAGCGGCACCTCACTGCGACGACTAATTTGGTTCCCTTCTGGAGCTACTGGGAGCGGCTGCGTGGCGATGGCTATGCCCTCTGCGGGGAAGCGGCTCAATACCGGAGACTCGTGTGTATGGCTAGTGGGTGCAGGGGAGATATTACTAGCATAGCCCGATTGACCCAACGATGCAGACGACAGCTCAGAGGGGGATATCTGGTGACAGGGCGTTTCCGGGGTAATTGGTCCATTGTATGACGGGTGTCTGGCTACCCCTTGATTGCTCAGATACTGCGATTTCCGAGTCATCTCGCCGAGTTCAGAGATCGTGGTATTCGGAAGCTCAAACGCGGCAGATGTGACCTGCTGGAATGGATCGAACGTATCTTCAGATTCTATGAATGGTATAGGAAGCTCGGAAGGTGATAGCAGGCCCTTGCTGGGCGCATCACTCCGCGATAGGTGACAAGAGCAGAAGCAGTGCGGCTGCCCACGATTTCCAGAGATTTTTTGCAACGCTTTCATGGACTTCTGAAAGAGTTTGCGGGCAAAGTTGACTTTATCCCACGAACACTGTTTCTTGGAGACGACCTTGAACGAGTCGACCTGTTGGCATGTGGGACACCAGAACTTGCCATTTGGAAAGAGTTTACAATGCTTCAGGTGTCGGAGCATGGCCTTGGGGTCCTTGAAATCTCTCTCTGGACAAGACGCCATCAGACACCTATATAGGGGACCGTGCTGCTCATCCTCCAGAAGGTAGAATTCTAGAGCTCGGCCCCAAAACCGGCTTTGGTAACACTCATCTAGCACCGCAAGACGAAACCTAGAAAATTGTCAGCAGTCACGCAGACGAAATAGAGAGAGTATAAGGGAGTTTATCCTTACGAGCAGCTATGTTCTTGCGAAGCTGGAGGTGTAACATAACCCTGAAAAGGGGGCGGCGAAGAAGGAGCCAGTAGCCAATCGTACGTGGCTAGGCCGTTTGGACTAAGCGACTGATGCATTGGCTGGGACTTCATATTCGACGCCGAAGCTTGAAAACTGCCACCGTCCGGCGAATATTCATTTGAACCGTAACACTTGAAGTTCATGATTCACCAGTTCTGAAACGAAGCATATAACAAGTATATATTCTGAATCCAAAAGCGAATATCATGCCAGGTAAGGGTCTTCGGCTCTCATACAGGCAAAAACGATGTCACATTTCCCCAGAAGCAAAATCTGGAGGCGAGTGTTCCCGTTTTGATGACGCCCGAAGGGACTGGACTGAAGGGTTCGGGAAGTTCGGAGTCGTGAGAAGGAGCCGCACTTCAACTTTCGCATTATGTCTGTCATCGCCTATTGCGACTCTGTGGTGAATGGACTATCGCATTGCCCTTGAGTCCCCTTCGCAATTTGTGGCGTCGATATCCTCCTCATACCAATATTCGAGGAATAGGCACGCCAAGGGCAATATCGAGGCTGTAGGGACTGCGGTCGGTTGCAAGCGTCGCCGGCAAGGGCGCAGTCACCGAGATGTCCGAAATCGAGCAGGGGAGACGTCCAATCAGGAGGCGTGGATGTACACAAAGTTTCCATAAAACTCTCAGATGGAAAAAAGGCAGCAGAAGGGCATTGCTCGAATGCATTGGCTCCAGTTGCCTTCCTGGCGACCCATTCCCTCCGGCAAAATCCGTAGACTCGGCTGTTGCGCTGATGGCCAATTGTTTCCAAGCAGATTTCGGTGGGCAGTCTAGTTTGCTCAGGTGGTCTCGGTAGCATAGGGACCCGGGACATGATTTCTATTAGATGAGAAGCCCTTGTAGATCAGCGTGCGAAACTGCCATCGCGGCCGCGATCGAATCGAAGTAGGGAATGGTAGGGAAGAGTAGGCAACTCAATGCTTTGCTTTTGTTGAAACACTTCAAGACGGCATTGAAGCCTCTAGTAAGAGAGGGGAAAGCTCGTCAAAAGGGACTGAGGGATTTGATGCATAAAGCCAAGGCCAAAAGACACAATGATAGAGGGAAGAAACAGACGACGCATGATCGATCATACAACAAGGACTCACATGGGAACATAAGGGAAGAGACTCCTACATTTAATACCTTAGAGAACTGCACCTGTGTTTGCACATACCCGCAATTGCAAAAATAGATTTAAGGGTCCGTCTGAAAATAGAAAAACCGCCAGCACGGCCCAGTCTTTAATCGCATTTGTCCAGCCCTATGAGAGACCGCCAATGCCACATTACTGCCATAGCACATGGAATTTGGCACGATACACGATGCAGGACCCCCAAGCAGCTACATCGTAGGCAAAGACATGCGAGTTGATTACGGTCAGATCATGATGCTACCAAATATAGACGTAGAAGAGGCAGTAATCTGGGTGGGAGGCGTCTTGGTGTGCCATAGACTGCCAGTGATGGTGTCTGGTAGGTTTGGGGGCGGTGATAACAAGAGCCTACCAAGATCATCAATTAGCCTAGCGCCGAAGCTGACAAGCCATTGACCTAGGACAGTTCCCGTGCTGCCTTGGACAGGTGACTGGAAAGATGTCAAGGTTGATTCCATCATTTCAATCCTGATCCTGCCCGGCTCCCTTAACCCATGCCATGCCAGGCCGAGTAAGCATAGCGCCTGACTCGGTCGAAGATCGATTTGACGACAAGTAGGCTCCGTCTGCTGCGCAGTGAGGGGTAAGAAAGGATAAACGACACATCTTTCCTCTTGTAGGTATCATTCTAGTGATTGTGGCTGCATGCACCTTCACCAGACCGTCACATTGCAGGCTGATCTGAGTGCATAACACGTATCGAGATAGGTATGCAGTTTATTCAAAGATGACTTACCTAATACGATGTCAAGCCACAGGTGCATAGCCACTTATTCTATCGCCACAATAGCTTACATAATAACTACAGCAGATCATCTGTTATATGCTCTCCCGTAAATCAGTACTCATTTCTTCGGGTCTATGTGACTATCTACCCTGATAACTGGCCAGGCAGTGTCATGACAGATAAGTAGTGTGGCACGCACAATACCGAGTACCAAGCAGGTCATCATAGCTAATCTGCAGTTGCCGTCAGCACCCAGCTTCAGGCCGAAAGATACGGACAGCCTCCAATGTTCTGAGACTGGCAACTGAGGTGCGGTAAGGTCAAGCGCTAGGCGATCAAGTGTACGAATGATTCTGAATGAAGCACGTGAAAACTTGGCTGGATTGATATTTTATTTCGTATAGACTGAATCAATGATAGTAGGGTTGACTAAGTCCTTAACAATTCAGAAGCCGCCCAGATGTCCGACAGCATAGCATTCATTGATCAGTACCACTATAAAGGCAAAGCAGGTCTCGTAAACTAATAATGTTAGTAGTTAGGCATTTGCATCGACTGCTATAATTTCATTCAAATACTTTTCTTCCGTGACAACGATAGGTGAAGTGAGGTTGAAAGAGCATAGTAGGAGCAAATGGCCGCTGCCAGCTGGGAGCAGCTGCCTCTTGCGTTCACGGGGTCGGCGTCCAAATACAGAAAAAGTGGAGACACCGAAACTGGATAAAGTCCCTTATCGATAGATGACACTGCATGCCAAATGCCTGAACAAGTCCGGCTGATGATACTGGCCTGGTCGTTCAATGAGTCCAACCCAATCCATCCTTACGTTTCTCTTCATCCCACGATCCAACACAGCGCCAAACCAGAATACTCTCTTCTTATTTCTGACATATTTCTTGCCGTCATAGCCGCCCCGTAGAGTGCCTGCTACGTATAGAGACCTGCGATTCCATCATGGCCGATATTACAAGCATTGAGGAAGATATCAAGCAGTTCCGAGAACAGGTACGTGTACTCTCGTCCAACGTGAAGCCCGAGGTAGAAGCTGACAATACCTGCCGCCGATTAGCTCGATGTCGTGGAAACCGGTCTGAGAGATGACCCCAGTAACGCAGAACTCCTTGCTCTCAAGTCTGAGTTAGATGATGCGCTTTCGCTGCTGAACGAAACACTTGCTGAACTGAAGCCAACAAAGGCACCATCAAGGCCGCAAGCGTCGCCGCCACCCCCGTCAGAGCCGCCCGTCCAGGAGAAGTGGTCGCGAGAGAACCATCCCGCCTTCAAGAAACCCCCGCCGCCCGAGGAGAAGGATGTCGACGCCGGCCCCGTCAATTACAAGGTGAACGACAATGTCATGGCGAAATGGGTCTCCGGAGATAAAGCATTCTACCCCGCCCGCATCACCTCCATCACCGGCTCCTCGACTGCGCCCATCTACGTGGTCAAATTCAAGAGCTATGACAACACGGAGCAGTTGCGCGCCAAAGACATCCGCCCCGTAGCACAAAAGAGGAAAGCCGATGGAACCCCCGTCGGCACCGCCAGTTCATTTGCCACCCCGGTTCAGCAGCCGCCACCGCCGTCTTCCGCTTCTACAAACCCCGGCGTGATATCTGCTGCTGCCAGTATCAACCCTGAGCTGGCCCAGAGGAATAGGGAGGAAGCCCTCAACAACACGGGCGATGCGAAGCCAAAGGCCAAGAAGATAAAAGCGAAAAAGGAGCTCGAGGCGGGCAAGAACAAATGGCAGGAGTTCAACAACAAGTCCAAATTCGCCAAGACGAGCAAGTCGAAGAAGGAAAGCATGTTCCGTACTCCAGAAGGTGTGCACGGCAGAGGTAAGTTGGCCTGGACTGGCTTGGTCACCATCCCCGTCTAGTATCTACTCGCTAACCTATCTCTATGCACGCAGTTGGTTTCACGGGCTCAGGACAAGCCATGCGCAAAGATCCTTCGAGAACCCGCCACATCTACCAAGCCAATGAGGATTTGGACTAACTCCAGTCGCAGAAAATGCTACGCGAACTTCATTGCCACGCAGGATTATGTGGGATGGCTCTATGATGGTGTCCGGGGGGTGTCGGCGTTGGGGAGTCGGTTAATAGGCTTTGTTTCCTCTCTCTCCCTTAGTCATATAGTCTGTATGCTAACGTGTATCATGAGTGGGACGCCATGTCATGCTGCCGCCAATCGCTTGCTGAGCGTCCGCGCAAGCTAGCTATGTTTAATCAGAGCGAAGTCATTCCTACTCCCTCTCGGTCCGCTGTGTTGATGTGCTAAGCGCTTGTTGTATACAGGGTATACTATCCAGCCAGCTAGCCTACGCAACCGCCAGCTTTCTCCCAGATGCCGGTTCTGCACCCGGTGTCTGTATCCGTATCTGATATGCTGCCCCTTTGAGTGATGTTTCGCGTAGATAGTGATGTATGATCGTACAATGCACCCTACGTAATAATACATGATATCGTTGTGACAAACCCCTTCATCCATCTTTCCTAGCCGCGACTCATCTATCTTGGCTCGAGACCTATCTTCGCACCCACTTGTCGAGCGATATCGATGAACGCCTTTCCTCTATGGCTGTCGGGCTCCGATACAACTGTGGGTTTGCCTCGTTGTCCATCATCTCCAACGTTTTGATGCAAGGGGATGTCCCCAAGTAAATCGAGCGAATGATTTTGGCACAGCTCCTTTACACGTTCGTTGGATCCAAACACGGCCGTGTCCTGATGGCAGTGGGGACAGCTAAACAAGGACATGTTCTGGACGAGGCCGAGGAGGGGCACATTCACCTTTTTGAACATGTTGATCCCCTTAACAGCGTCTTTGACGGCCAGCGTATGAGGCGTCGTCACGATGACGGAGCCTAATAGGGCTGCATCAGCCTAGATTCGACGCGTGCCCTGTTCATAACGATGGGGAGATTCTTACCATCTAAAATGATTTGCTGCGTAACGCTGAGCTGTGTATCACCCGTACCCGGAGGCAGATCGAGCACTAGAATGTCCAGGCCACCCCATTCTACCTCGTGCAGTAGCTGTTGGAGGGCTTTCATAACCATGAGTCCGCGCCACACCACTGGGGCGTCTTCGCCGACCATATACCCCATCGACATAGTCTTAACGCCATAGTTTGAAAGGGGAAGTAGTTGGTTGTCTTGCTTTTCTGTTAGCGAGCGTAATGTAGATATTCATGGGGAAGAGGTAGATGGTGTTATGTACGTACTGGATGATAATCGTGGTTCCCCGGAGAGATCGAAGAGCGTGGGTATGGATGGCCCGAATATGTCTGTGTCCAGGATGCCGGCGCGATATCCCATTCGCGCGAAAGCAAGTGAGAGGTTTGCTTTTATAGAGATGAGAGTTAGCCTAGAGAGTTCAGATGGCATTCTTGAGTGAGTGAGGATGCCTGTATGTTAGACTCACCCGCCACTGTGCTTTTTCCCACGCCTCCTTTCGCTGACGACACGGCGACCACTTTCGCAACGTCTTTGATCTTTCGCCGCTCGGGGAGACCCCGCTGCATGCGAGGAATAGATCCTGTTCGCGGTAGGCCCTAAAGTGTTGTGAGTCGTCGGGTCATGACTGGATGTGTAGATCTTTGGAAGAGGCTTACTAAGGGGTTCTCATGCCGGAGGGGTCGTAAGGTGTGAAAAAGTCGGGCTGATGCGCCTCTCATACTGAGGGTTTTCAGTTTGGCGAAACTCAAACTACTTTTATCCCTTTTATAAGTCGAAAATGAGACTTGTAGGATGAGTTAGACTGAATTTCCGTCTCAGAGATTTTGGTCCTGGGAATCGGTCGATAAGACTTACTTGACCAAGTTCCAACTACTCATCTATATTAAATTTCTTAGGATATCATATAAATCTATATACAAAATATAGATGGTTTTCAAGTATCGTCATCTCATACAATAGATGCTTATGAGAATAACCTTGGAGTTAACAGCTACTACCTAGTAAATTATAAGTATGTAAATACGCTAAATCCAGTACTTAGGTACCTGATTCGACCACTGGCGCTGAGCTAGCTCCACTATATCCCACCTATGAATACTGCCACAACTTACCGCTAAAATTTTCCTAGGCGCTCTACAGGAATGATCGCATCTTTCTGTGTAGTCGTACCAGAAGGAGAAGCTCGACAACACCAATCGGACCTTGCTCTCAACAATTGGACTGTGACAAAATGGTCAGAAAACATGGCCGTGCCCGTGAACTAGCGGACCTGGTTGAGCGACCAGTGAAAGGTATTCTATGCGCTTTCCTGCTTGTACACGTGCCTGTGTAACTGTATTTATTATATGCTCACATAACTTCCATGGACAGACTATGATCCGGAGTCGAACGTGGTTCCCAGCGACGACGACCAGAGCGGCGACGAAAGCAGCGACAATGAGCCTGTCGGAACCGAGCATTATGTCGCCGTCGGGTATGCGCTGCCCTGATTGACTACGCCCATCCGCCCTTCGTCTACTAACTACTTTGCCAGCAAGAGCAAACTTCGTCGTAACGAGCCCTTGAACCTAGGGCCTCAATATAGAGGAACGCGAGTGTCCCGCGAAGCCCTTGAAGCTGAAGACGACGGCGAACATCTGGACGAGGACGAGGACGAGGAAGAAGAAGAAGAAGAAGCTGAAGATGACGATGACGATGACATCTCGTCCGACGACTACGAAGACGCTCGCGAACAGTTCGACGACCCCGACGCCGCTAATCTCGAGGCTGACCAGCAGGGCCAAGAAGATGATGAAATCGACAGTGACGCTATTGTTGGCGAAGAAGACTGGGAAGAATTTAAGAAATTTGCCAACGCAAGATCGAAGTCTACATTTAAAGAGAACGGCCGTGCGAAACGACCTACGGCTGTTGATTTCATGAAATCGGATAGTGAGGACGAAGATGAGGAGGAGGGAGAGGAGGATGAGGATGAAGATAGTGGCGACGAGGAGGGGTCATCAGACGACCTAAGAACTAGCGGCTTCATTGACGACGAGGCGGAAGAATCCGATGATGACGAACCTGGTTTCTCCGATGAGGAGGATGGATTGTCAGACGACGGGAGCGCGGATGACAGCGACGATAGTGATGGTGAAGAAGACGAGGACGAAGAAGAACAAAATGACGGCCAGAAGAAATTAAAGCGCTCAACTGACTCCGGAATAGCAGCATCAGTCAAGGAAATGATGGGCGAACAGAGTGTTGTCAAGTCACTGTTGAGAACTGTGGACGCAGATGTGCAGAAAGGAAAGGCTGTGCAACGTCAACGGAAGGGTTTTGACACTCTACTCAACATTCGTATACGCTTGCAAAAGTCGGTAAGTCGATCGGACTCGCAACATCATGCCCTGTGGCGCGTATGCGTTACGCCGTGATTCGGTAATTACTGACACTGTTTCTTTAGATTGTCGCTATAAACTCCTTCAACTATGTGGATAAACCAGAAGATCAGACGACAGAGCCCTACGAGGCAGCAGAGCGATCCGCCCTACAACTCTGGAACGCCCTCGATGACTTTCGCACAAGCATTCACAAAGGAAAAAAGCGGAAACATGCCGAAACAGACGATGCATCCATCACAGCTCTGTGGGACAGGATGGAGGTCCACGAGAAATATCAGTCCGCGCGGAGAAAACAAGTTTTAGAGAAGGTAAGAATCTCCCATCGGTTTATTATCGTGTGCTCTCTAACTCTATGACCCCCTTAGTGGTCTCGAGATGCCAAAAAAACAAGTATAACCGCTGGCTCTGGGAACAAATTCACTCGCAACACGGAGAAGCCTCTTACGGCCATGCTCAGTGCTGAGCTGGATGCCCCGGAAAGACTCATCAAACGCACGCGGACTCCGTAAGTTTCATCCTTTCCTCCCCTCTTTCATTTAACGTTGGTTCCCTAGAGTCTTAATACTAACTTTAATATCGCGCAGTCGATCATGCGCGCCTTATCACGTTGCCCAGAAAATCAACGAGGACGAGTCGATTTATGATGATGCCGACTTTTACCAATTGTTATGTAAGTTCAACATTGCGTTTTACAGCGCTCTGTCCAGAGAGTCTCCCCCGCTACTTTGTTACATCATGTATAGTAGATTTGAACTGACCTAAGATAATTCAGTGAAAGAGTTGGTCGACCAGCGGTCTGGTGATGGCTCTGGAACTGGTCTGCAAGCCGCAACTGTTCGATATGCGGCAGCAAAAGAAGCTAAAGCCAAGCGACATGTGGACACAAAAGCCAGCAAAGGTCGGAAAATGCGTTTTGCGCCTCTTCCTGTAAGTCTGCCCACCTCGTATTCATAGCGCACATGCAGTGCTGACAAACCGGGTTTAGAAACTGCAGAATTTCATGGCCCCTGAAGATCGACGGGGCTGGGAGCAAGGCGCCATCGATAGGTTCTTCGGTACGCTCTTTGGTCAAAAAATGGTCTTGAATGAGGAAGAAGCAGAATCCTCCGATGAAGAGATGGGTGGTGTTTCGGTGGAAGACCAAGGGCTGCGGCTCTTTAGAAATTAGTTAATAGAGCCCATCCATCGATTGAGTAGTATGTAGCATGTTGATTGTGTAGGAACGTTAGGATCCGGAAAAGGAAACCAGCGCGGCCTGAGATCGGCACTGATCGACTGCTACGTACCAACCCACAAATAGGACCACCCATAGCAGATGTTGACTTCGGTTCGTCAATGAATACGAGGTGGAGGCATTCCAAAGCTTTATATATGGCCCTGAATCACCACTGACCCGGATATCCTCATTTACTCTTGTGTTGGCTCATTCCGAAGCAGTTCTTTCGCCATCATCAATCGAGTGCATTTTCAGGATACTTTCACGATCGAGTCGCGTTCGACTTGACAACAGTCGGACTCTAGAAATAATTTCGGCCTTGGAACTCCGATGGCACCCCCTACACTCGGCTATTTTCAGTTTCCGTCCCGCCAGTGCTACGCAGCTAGCAGCTCTGCCGTCGCAGTCTCTTTCCCGAATAGCGAGTTGGAGCTTCATGGTTTCGCATGTGTCAAACCTCTAGACCGACAAGCTTGGGCATGGACGCAACGTCACTTGGCTTGCTGGAATGATTCACGATGCGAAACTCCCATGGCAACTCTCATTCCGTCGAGTCACGATGCAATCAACCAAAGACGGCAGCTCACGCCCTTCAGTTAGCATCACTGCCGCCGTCTCGACCGGTGGTTAACCTCGCCATTAACTTGATTGGGGTCTTTGTCTCCTACTAATGATACATAAACTAGTGTCTTTTGGTCCTTCGTGCCGTGCCGACCGGTCTGTCCCGCCCTCATTATCACACTAGATACTCATGAACTCGATGCTAAGAAGATCTTTACTATTTTCGCACTCCACCTGCCATGTCTTGCCCACCCCTAGGTGGTTTGCTCTAGCACATGACTAGCATCGGGGTTACCAGCTCGCTCACAAGTCGCAACGAAGCCACGAAATAGTTATAGATCGATTTGTAACTACAAGGACATCACTGCGAGCTCCACAAGATCACGGCCAGAGTATATGATTTGGGAAGCTCGATAGGGCGAGCGATGCTTTCAACAGCCACGCGTCCACGGGCGGTTTGCAAGTCATGAGTTAAGGTTTGCGGGTTACGTTACCTTGTATCATACCTCATAATTCAAGCCTTTGGGTTGGCTTCTATGTTGGCCGACACACTTTGGCTTTAAAGTATTTTGGCGCGCACACCATCGCGACAACTTGGAGTGGCTCTCCCGTGGCGTGACATTAGTCCCCTAAACAAGGAACATTGCCGAGATTGTAGGCCAGCTAGGAACACCAAGGGAAGCATGCGAGGCATGCAGTACTCAGTATGTTCGCGCACCTATTCAGCAGGGGCTTTATCCTAAGTGCCAACCGGCGCTTCTTCGGGCGGCAACCGAGCTTCCTGATTGGGGGCTCACGAATCTGATTAGTCTTAGAACGAGATGAATAGGTAGAATGGGGGATGCGATTGCACGGGATGGGTAAGGGTCTCTCGTTCAAGTCGCCAATCAAGAGATGCGATGACTGCTTACCACTACCACATCGCGCTCACAGATCATCGAGGCGCCACTCACGCGGCTTGTGCAGGTACACGTTGTCGATCATGTGGCGCGGCGATCTTCCCCAAACTTTCTATGTGCTGCAAGACATCTCGCAGGTCAACTTTGCGTGCACAAGGCCACGAAGGCGGCTCGTTCTACACGGGGTCCTTTGCACGAGATAAGTCGCACCGTGAGGCTGACCTTTGGTCTGTATGCGGGCTGGGTCAGATATCATTGTCGGGGCGTCACGCTTCTTCCCTTTCACCCTGGCATGTCTTCTCATTTACTCCCTAGTATTTGAGCGTACTTACATCCAAGGGCATGGTCCCCGCATGTCGGTACTCGGATCCCGACTCTTGGCTCCAGAGCACATAATGGTGCAGGGAGGTGTTGTTTCATCAACGACTTCATTGGACATCAGTCTCGGCTCGCTAAGTCGAATCTCCCCACAACGACAACCCCTGGCCAACATGCGACTACTATGTACATTAACATAGAGTAGATTGCACCATGGCATTTCCAAACTCCCTAATTAGGCACATTATCCAATCCGAAGTCTGTGCCGGGGGGGATTCTCACTAGGCATGAAGTCGATTTAATCGCCAACAACTCTCACCCTTGACAACGTTATGTGCCGAGGCGAGAAATAAGTAAAGTCGCCGTCACCAAGGTACGACGAAACACCTCGTGAATCTTGTCCACTGCAGCTTTATTCCAAAGTGATGCTAGGTTGAGAGCCTAGACACCTGATCCGTGTCACTTCACGTCTCGGCGATTAAAGAATTTTGCAGCCAACCCCAAATTCGAACTGGCATCATCGCCAACAAAGGTAGGTAGTCTTATCTAGTATCCCAGGTTTGGCAGGTAACTAATTCCCCCTTCATCGAATGGTCACTGCGATCTCCACATTCGAATGTTATTTCTTTTCCCTCATGATGTAGTCGTTGTTCAGATCACGCTCTGTCGGCTCTAGACGCGTGGCTAAACTATCAGACCTACCCCATGAGCACAAGGTTGGTTAAACCCTTGTCTTCAACTTATCGCCATTGCACCATGAGCACCTTCACTCCCACATCGGCGCCGGTGCGCATGAATAAGCCGACCCTCGCTCTCGACCGACCCGTTTCCCATATCCCAAAGGCTCAACTCATTAATATAAAGAGGCGGACTGTTCCTCATCAAGTCATGATCTTCGTTACTATCCTCCACGACACAGTCCTTTACCACTCAGAGCTATAACTGCTCGTTTCCACTCCTTGCCTTGATTTTTGATTTACATTGTACATACTTTTATATCATTGTATATAATACATATTATAATCTCCCATCATGTTTGCGAAACTCCTAGCTTGTGCCTTGGCAGCCACGTCTGTCATCGCTGAGGGCGTCCCAGGTTACGGCGGCTATTATGTCAAATGGCAGGAGAACTTCAACGGCCCGGCCGGCGCCCTGGTGAACGAAGGTAACTGGAACATCATCGAGCGTTCCCCGGGCAGCAACTCGAACAACGAATGGCAGTCATACACCAGATCAAACCGTATGTAATCCCGCTAATTTTATTTCACCCTTTTCGATGTGGGCGCCGGGAAACGCCCCTTCAACGGCAATCTCCCTTGTGTTTGCCCCTTTTTCTCTCACCTACTTTCAGAGCGGTAGTGGCTGACTATAGATACACAGAGAATCACCAGCTCTCGGGTGGCGCCACTCTACAGATTGTCCCGCAAAACAACGGCGGCTGGACCTCTGCTCGCCTCGAGTCCAAGTACGTGTTCACGCCCACCGACGGACGCCGGACCATCATAGAGGCCAAAATCCGCTTCGGCAACAATGGGCCGGGCAACAAGAAGGGCATCTGGCCGGCGTTCTGGATGCTGGGAGACTCGGCCCGGCGTGGCACGCCCTGGCCGCAATGCGGCGAGGTCGACATCATGGAGGCGATCAACGGCGTGACGACGGGTTACGGTACAATACACTGCGACGTCGCGCCCGGCGGCATCTGCAACGAATGGAGCGGCCTCGGCGGCAACATCGGCTTCGGCGACAACGGTTGGCACACCTGGCGCATCATAATCGACCGCACGCCGGGCAACTGGGTCGACGAGAGCATGACGTGGTACAGAGACGGCGCGCAGTTCATGCAAGTCACCGGCGGCCGCATCAACAACGTCAACGTGTGGAACTCGCTCGCCACGAGCCCGCAGTTCATAATCCTTAATGTCGCTGTCGGCGGCGACTGGCCTGGTGCGCCGAATGGAGATACCCGCGGCAGCTGGGGCAGCGAGATGGAGGTTGCTTATGTTGCCGTTTATGAGTCTACCTAGACTAAGCGCTCTATCACACACAGACACATATTCTCTGTTAATCGCCTAATATGGATACCCAACGAAGCATCATGGATTCATGCATGTTTGGACGGCGCTTTCGTTGTCTGTCCTGGGCATCTTTAACACGCGTCTTGTTTCATTTGGCTTTCATGTTTTCCTGCATCTCAGCGCATGCATCACCAGCGGGGGAGTTCTGGGATCGAGGGACTGGCATGACATGGCATTCACGATGACATGTTACGGAGTTCTGGTTTCCGAGCGCCGCGTTGCATACCCACACTCGCTTTATTTTTTCTATGATTTATATGCTGGTTTGATTAACTAGCCATGTTATACTTTTGCGCACCTTATACCTTCTTTGCATATATTTACCTACTTGGGTACCTATGTAGGTATCTTGGACATAACTTTTCCCTTCTTGCACATACTTTTACTTGTCGATAGGCAAAGATATATATACCTGTATATAGCATTTAAATACAATTACAATTGATTATGTCCATTTGGGTTTGATAATTATAGACAACTTGGAGGGTGTGTCTGTTTTAGGAGCTTGATGTTGTATGCTAGTACTGGAAACACGACAGCTTTGGATGGGAAGTATCTCTAGCGCGACAAGTGCGTCGGGCTATTACAAACCGAGATCTGTGGAGATATGCAATATAAAGAAAGGGGATGCTACGCTATCAATCTGGGGAACAGTCAAGACCCATACGTTTGAGAACTAGTGATACTATATATAGAGGGTGGATTATGCATTCGCTTTGGCAGCTTGTATATCACGAGTATCCGCATTAACGAGTATAATTGCCTTTACAAAGCTAGAAGCTCAATCGAATGAATATCACTCGCGCATGGGTTTAGTCGTCCCTCGTTGTGTCCTTCGCTGGACCTTCCAGCCACTCTTCAGATGAAGTGCTATGCGCCTTGAAACGTGATTGCGCAATGCGCTCAAGCGACAGGCCTCGAGTCTCTTTCAAAAGGAAGAACGTGAAACCAGCAATGAATAAGTCGAAGATGCCTAGTAAGAATCAGTATTATGCTCTAGAAGAGTATGTAATGCGATATTACTCACCCCACACAAGGAACGTCCCCCACCCAAGAGATGCGATCATATAGGGGGTTGTGAGGGAGAAAACGAAGTTCCATAGCCACTGTGAGGCCACACCGATCGCGACACCGGGCTCTCTAATGCGCGGAGAAAATATTCTGAAGAGGTATCTAAATTAGCTAAAATCCCGATGGAGTTATGAAAGGGAAAAGGAATGACTTACTCGGAAACATAGGGCCATGGCATAGGACCCCAGCTAAAATTGTATGCAACCACGAAGAGGTAGATGAGGGCAATCGTTGCAATGGCTGGAGGGCTGACGGTCGCCTGTTGTTCTTCGGGGGCTGGGAAGGATTTGACTACTGCTGCGGTGACGATTTGGCACGCGCTCATGAAAACGGCGCCTCCTATGAGAACTTGACGACGGGATAATCTCTCCGCAAAGAAGAGAACAAAGATGCCACAAGCTACAACCTTGACAGCGCCAAAAATTGCAGTAACGAGCAGGCTTCGGTCACCGCTCCCTACAATGAGCTTGAAATATTGTGGACCGAAGTATGCAAAAGCCGTGGCTCCGGTCGCCTGTTGAGCCGTGAAAACAGCGAAGGCGGCGAGCACGCGCTTGAAGTTTTCGCCCTGAAGCAGTTCTATAACACTGTCAGAGAATGTTTTGAGTAATCGTTCGGACAACAGATGTTCACCTTTGAATTGGAAACCCTCAGTAGCTCGAGCTTCTGCAACTACACCAGCGCGAATCTCTTCCATCTCATCGATAGTGACCTGAGAGCTGTCGGCACGAATCCACTGGAGACTTTTCCATGCTTCATCATGGCGACCTTTCTTGGTAAGCCATCGCGCACTCTCCGGTACGGTGAACATGCCAAGCCCGAGGATACCTGCGGGTAAAAGTTGCAGGCCGATTGGAATCTGCCATTGTGATGGGTCGGTATCCGAGATGTTCTTAGCAACCCCATAATCAACCCAATACGATATAAAGATACCCTGTACACGGTTAATACGAGCATTCAATAGATGGGGAATGCTGAAATGGAACATACGAAGGTAAAAAACCATTGGAAAAAGGAGCCAACCTGGCCTCTCAGCTCCTTGGGCATCATCTCACTGTTAAACATGGGCACCACAACTGTAGAAGCACCGAGTCCAAGCCCGGCAATGACACGGGCAATATAGAATGCGGTGAGTGAGTGGGTGTTGATGGTCTGGATGATAACGCCAATGATGAACACTGCGGAAGACAACATCAAGGCCTTCTTACGCCCCAACTTGTCTGTAAGAGGCCATGCAAGGAAGCAGGCCACAAATGCACCGAGTTGCTGAAGACTAACAGACAGAGAGCTCGCTCGGGTTGCACCAGCGTCGCCATAACGGTAGTCGTCGCGAAAAGAGTCGAGTGTCAAGACACCACCTGTTGTTTAGACGGGACTGCGGTTAATAATCCGTTCCCTTACGAATCTGGACGAACTGATGGGGGACGAACTAACACTGCAACAGGTCAGTAATCAGAGTCGAACCGCAGCTCGTGATCCGACAAACTTACATGCCACTATCATAACCGAAAAGGAAACCACCAAAACACACCACAGAGCCGAGCCAGTAGGCTCGCACTTTACCTAGAGTAACGGAGTCCTTCATCTCGACGATGTCTACCGTCGCTATCGTCGCTGCATGACATGAGCGAAGCCAGAAGGGCTAGTCAAAGCCTCCCCTCATCCCCCAATTTATAGAAGCGGTGATCATCTTCATTTTGCCCTTTGCCTAGGCTCATTCAACAGGGTTTCTGGGACGTTGAACAACATGTATCCATTATCACGTCACCGCAAGCTCAGCCAATGAGGTGTTATTACTACCGAACCCCGAAAGTTGGGGAAACGAGCGACGCTAAGAGTTCTGGTCACTGGCCAATCATCGTCGATCGCGACCGAGCTGTTGACGATGTACCAGATGATGAACGAGTGGCCATACTTTCGGTGAGGATCAATCCTTTTTTTTTTTTTTTTTTTTTTTTTTGCTGTTTCTTTTTTCATATAGTTGGATCCTTCTTATTCTGAAGTCCAATTATGACCGTCATTTGATGAAATCAAGATATATCCAGCATAGCATCTCCTGAGCATTTAAATGTAACGCTATTCTACATATATGTACATCCTAGACGACCATGTCGAGCCTAAAGTTGGGGTAGTAACTAGCTACCTACTGTAAATGGATAAACCACTCGCGTGTTCATATGCGGAGTCCTCTCATTTCTTCGCCTCTATTGGCCTCCACTCCTCATGCACACTCTGAGAGGGGATATAAGCTATAATAGTATCCGTCCCAAATACGACATCAAGATTGTGGGGTCATGAAGCTACGTGGTGATGATGATCAAGGAGAGGGGGGGTTGCTGCTAAGGTTATCCATGATCTCCAGGGTAATTTTTGGGCATGGGAGGAGAATTCCCCTGATGTTGTCCTTTTCCTTTCCATTTCATCTTTTCAACTAGCTTTCATTGTATGTTCTCTGTTGAGATATAAGCAAGCGACTTTGGGTGTTTAATTTCAGGAATACATTGCACCAAAACTGATTCTTTCTCATCGTATACGATGGCGTCCGGCAAGAGACCCAACTTTCTCATCTTTCTGGCCGATGACCTTGGGTTCTCGGACATTGGGCCCTTTGGCGGTGAAATTAACACCCCGAATCTCGACAAATTGGCAAAAGACAGCATCCTGTTTACAGACTTTCATGCTGCGGCAGCATGCTCACCATCACGAGCCATGATCATGACGGGAACCGATCACCACATTGCCGGTCTCGGGAACTTGATCGAGTGGACCAATGTCTCAGGCCAGAACGACCCCAACGGAACCATGTCGACGGCCGTCCAACGCGGTATGCCCGGCTACGAGGGCTACCTGAATGAAAGAGTTGTCGCTCTACCCGAACTGCTTCGCGATGCAGGTTATCACACATTAATGTCAGGCAAGTGGCACTTGGGCCTAACACCTGAGCGTAGTCCAAAAGTCAGGGGTTTCGAGCGTAGCTTCTCCCACCTACCGGCCTGCAGCAACCACTATGCGTACGAACCGCAGCTCGAGGGTGCGGATAAGATCCCAGAATTCATGACTATGAGCTTCATCGCATTACATAGCGAAGATGGTGAATATGTGAAGAAGCTACCAGATGGATGGTATTCCTCTGACGGATATGGTGATAAGATGTTGCAATATCTGAAGGATTGGAAGGAGGCCGGCGATGACCGTCCGTTTTTCGGATATCTCCCGTTTACTGCACCTCATTGGCCACTGCAAGCGCCCCAGGAGTACATTAGGAAGTATCGTGGTGTGTACGATGATGGTCCGGAGGCTCTGCGTCAGAAGCGACTACAGCGTCTCAAGGACCTCGGCATGGTGGCTCAGGATGTTGAACCTCACCCAGTAGTGGCCGACGAGGTGAAAGAATGGGAAGATTTAACAGACGTAGAGCGGGCAAATTCATGCAGGGCGATGGAATGCTTCGCTGGTATGGTCGAGGCTATCGATGCTAATGTCGGTAAGGTCATGAAATATCTTGAGGAAATCGGCGAGCTGGACAATACCTTCATCTGCTTCCTTTCTGATAACGGAGCTGAAGGCGCTGCGTACGAAGCATATCCAATCGTGCAGAGCAATATGTTGCAACACCTGCAGAAATACTACGACAACAGCATTGATAACCTCGGTAACGGTAACTCCTTTATCTGGTACGGTCCCAGATGGGCACAAGCCGCTACCGCACCGAGCAGGCTTTACAAAGCCTACACGACGGAGGGCGGTGTACGCGTTCCCTACATGATGAAGCCCCCGGCGAACTTCAGCGGGAATATCCCAGGGGGCAGCATAACGCACCAATTCGCGACAGTCATGGATCTCGCGCCGACGATCCTAGACATGGCAGGCGTAACACACCCAGCACCGACCTACCAAGGGCGACAAATCGTCCCCATGCGCGGGAAATCCATGGTGCCGTACCTGTCGAAGCAAGCCGAGACGATCCACGAGAAAGACTTCATCAACGGGTGGGAGACGTGCGGACGCGCGGCCTGCCGTCGCGGCGACTGGAAGATCGTGTTCATACCGAAACCGAAGGGACCTGAGAAGTGGCAGTTGTATAATCTCGCTGCAGACCCGGGCGAGGTGCACGATCTCGCGGAGCAGGAACCTGGGAAATTGAAGGAGTTGATCAAATTGTGGGATATATATGTTCTGGAAACGGGGGTTATCCCGCTGTCGCCGGACTTGGGCAATTGGATGGCGGCGATGGAGGAGCAGATGCCTGAGAACGCGTGGATCGAGTACGAGTATTGGAAGGATGGCGCGAGAGATGAGCCCGAGAAGTTTACGAGGGTTGTTCCGCGCTTTCAGAGACATGTTTCGGCTATATGAGATGTAGGATGGTGTAGCTTGTAGAGCTCGGGTTGTTGCTTTCTACTGGTAGTGATGAGGAAAATTTACTTTGTGTATTAGATTGATGTTTATGAATGCTTCGATAAGTGAGACCTCTGTTTACTTCTATATATCTTATTTTTCTTGAGTTCGTCAGAATTATCGAGTTCTTGTTGAGGATACTCTGTTCAACTGCTTGAGGTCATTACCCCTGAATCCAGCTTCTTCTCTGCCCTCATCTTCCTCGTTGCTTTATAAACTCTATCCCGTGATGTATTGGCTACACTTTTCATCTAGACATCGTTTCTTTATTAATTCTTTATCATAATGCAAATAATCATGTTGTATGGTGGACGGCGAAAATTACTCGAGTCTCTGCCAGGGTCATTGCTGATATTATTGATCGTGCTTCGATCTGGGTTCTCTCTTGGCCCTCCCACGTCTTCGAACTATCTTACCAGTGACCCCTTAGACGGAATGACTGTTGATTATGACCGCGTCTCTTACACCCGGCATCACCATTCATCACGTGTTGAAAGCGAGAGGCTAATGAATAAAGGCTGCTTTTGATAGCACCTAATGCCTTATCACAGTTAAAAAGGACACCAAAGACTAAGATCAATCAAAGGAAGAGTGTCTAAAATTATATTCTTTATGCCAACAATAGAGTACTTGTTTCCACGATCAATGAGCTTGTTACGCGCCCATGTTAAATAGACCGCCATGGCTCTGCCAGCCCCTGACTACCTACACTCAAGGTAAACCCGGAAGAAACTCATCACGGCAACAACACCAATAATTCTTCATTTCTTGTAAAGAGCTTGCTCTCATTAATTCTTTTACGTATCTATTACTAACCAACAGCCCACTATGAAACGCCATTCACAGCCACGATCACGACCACTAAAGACAGTGACACCGTTAAAGGTATCTCAACGCCGCACCGGTGGAGTAGAGGAAGACAAGTTCCTCGATAGATGGAGCCCTAAACTGGACAAGGACCACTACAGTCGAGTACGGCTTCATCGGGAGCGCAAAGACTCGGTTACTCGCTTTCGACGGGGAGTAGGACAGCGCAGTTCAAGCCTCTATCGGGTCCGCGCTTGCGCAAATGACGATGTGGGATCTTTGAGATCATTTGATTCTGAGTGTACTTCGTCTCTCTCACCGGCGGCTAGTTTCGTGTTTTCAGACCTCGGCTCTACGCTCCGGGATGAACTCGACCATTACGATGACCAGATTAAGACTCTACAGCCAGGTGAGTGGCCTGCTCCGCCAAATGCGAGAGCGGGTGCGTTTCGCGTCAGTGGGAAAGAGTTCTCTATGGAACGCGCCAAAGCTTTGAAGAGCTGGGGTTTCGCACAGGGGATGATGTATGGTAGTAGTTCGGCGTCTTTGCGAGATACAGATAAAGTGCATCCGGCGTCGAGCTATAAGCCTGGCGTCATATTCAGCGCGCCGCATCACACAGCAGGTTCGGATGATCTGTGGGTATCAGTCAATGACCCGTATAACACTGCGACGCCGTTCGGCAAAGTGCATAGTAAGTATAGGAAGATGGTTGTCATCAGAGCCTTCGGGGAGCATTGCATCTGTCTCCCTATTTACTCGCATAATGGCAAGGGGCTCGAGGGGAAAGATAATCTTATAGAGTATGTCAGCATCCGCGATGCTGCTGATCGGAATCCGGAAAAGGCGGAGGGTATGCATAATAGGTTGCTTGCCGTTGGCAACGATGACTTCCGTGGGAAGATCGTCGCGGGCAAGTCGTGCATTAAGCTCACCGAGTTAACTTCGCATCGGTACGATGTGCCGACTACCATCGAGGGTAGACTTGAAGAAAAGAAGAGCGACTCAAAGGAGGAACTCTTAGCTCTCGTGGATATGATGAGTACATAAATATGGCTTTGTTAGAAATGTATAAGGCGTAGCTACTAGAAATACTTGAAATATTGCCCAACCTAAATTGTGATGATCTCAGATATAAAGAAAGTGCAAGTATTCCAGCGCTCCTAGTAGCTTCTTTCGCCCAGTAAAAGTAAGGTCTTCTTCGCATGCTCTGAGCGCTGTACTTATGGAGGATATGGCAATCACATATCTGTAATGAATGACCCAACTAAGACGTTTGAAACCATGGGAACAGGAATTATAACTAAGGGAAATCATGTTTTATGGGAGTGGATAATTATAATAGATGAATGACCTTGACAGTAGCAGGGGAAAGGAGGTCACATACCTTCATATCAATGATGGGATGAATTGAGTAGAGAGACTTGCGCAGCACAACCACTGTTGTCGATCTGATTGCCTTCTACTCTTACATCTCATCATTGATGAAATCAAACATCGTTCATCATCCCGGTCACTAGAGCCCGGTGTTTAAAAGCTATCTGGGGTTTACCCCAAAGTGCCGTGATGTGAAACCTGGTGTTTCACATACCCATGCGACGCCATCTTGGCGTCTCAAAGCCTACGGTTTTATCTACCGACTATCTTCAACCTACTTTGTAAACATCGCTATTCTCTTTCTCATCTCAATTCAATTGGCGTGGAAATATCACAAATATCGATTCAAAATGAGGATAACCACTTTACTACTCTCTGCGGGGGCTGTGTCGAATGCATGGGCGCAAAGAATATTACCAGCAAACGAACCGACGACGGACAGTATTGCGCTCGACGAGAGCTCGGCCACAGAACAGGTAGCCATCAACCGAACGGACGCGAACCCGCCCTCTCCTCCCGAGGACGAAGAGCAAGCCGTGCCCATCTCAGCGGTCCTCTTCGACGGACCCCCCGGACCGAAAGACTGTCGCGGGAACGTGGTTCTGAATATCGGCCTCGCGAAACCCGGGGCGCAGCATTCTACCCCGACGTGCTACAATGTGCCCGGCGTGGCGCAGTGCGGGAATTTCGTGGGGAACAAGGACGATGGGTGCGAGGCGCGGATCTTTAGCGAGGCGGATTGCAACGAGTTTGCGAACGTTGCCGTCTTTGTACCCGAGGTCAGGGCCTTCGGGGGTTACGTGCGGAGTGTGGAGATTACGTGCGGGATTGTGGGTGTTGCGCCGCCGCCGTTGAAGTTGCCTGGGTTGAAGTTGCCGCCGGGGGCGGTGCAGGCTGTGGGATAATAGATGGGTGGATGGATGGATTGATTTGATATATGGGAAAAGGGAGGATCTTGAGTTATTGGCATCGCGTTTACTGGATCTTGTTGATGAGAGTTGTCGTGGGGGGAAGAATGGTGATTTTAAGGTGGTGGAAGTCAGATATTCAGATGCGTTTGGGGGTGGGTATATTGAGTTCCTGCGAGGAGAGCCTCATGCTAACTTGAAAGAAACAGATCTTCCTCCTTGTTCGTATTATATATACCCAAATTTCAAAGGACGGGCGGGAATGGACTGCTATACAGAGGTGATGGATGAAATCCCCAGAGTTTTGAAGTAGGCCATATAGTACACCTAATCTAGGAGCATAATATCTTGTACCTCTTTCCTCTCATACCAGGCCTGCAAGAGGCGGCAAAGACTACCCACCAACAGAGCTTGCCATTCCAAGCCACTGCGACTCGCCCAAATAAAGTAAAACAAAGCAGAATAAAAGCAGGATCAAGCAGGATCAAGCAGGATCATGGATGACTTGTTCAGGATTGTCACCACGTGCTCGCCCTCGATATCTGTCCTAGCCTAGAGCATTCACATGACTCCCCACACAGATTCCCATTAGCCTAACGCAACTGTAATCCCTTCACGCCTGCCATACTCCAAGAGATAGAGAGCTCGATGCTTACTACAGATACCTATCTCAACCAGTGAATCCAATCGTGGTTATAGATCTTGGTGCATGCTGCAAGTGAAGTACTTAAGTAGGTATATGCAAGTAGAGAGTTGGTACCTGCCGAAGTACCAGTACTAGCATGCCGCTTATCAGATAACCTTAGGTAGGTACCTACTACAGGCATGTACTTAAGTAAGGCACATGTACACCTGACCCGGTAGCCCCGCAGCTCTACGGGATACATACCCACCTATAAACACGGTTTTGGGCCACTAAAAGACTCACCAAGAATGAGGGGTCCTCATCCCCTCTGCTCATCCCACCTGTGCCCCACTGTGGCCTCTATTGTCCTCGATTGTCCTCTATCGTTAGGTGGGCGAGGTGGGGTACTTTAGTGGTGGATTATAGAAGGCAAAGTACCTACCTACATAGAACAAGGAAATGCCCTGTGTCCAACTCCGGCTACCTAACCGCATCTCAATGGGCTCATTCATCATTCATCACATCATCCATCGTTCACTGCCTCTTCTCTCCCCTCCTCTCCTCTACTCTTCTCTTCTTTCCTTTCGAAACCACGCCTCTCTTGACCACAACGACTGCTGCTGCTACTGCTGCTGCTGCTGCGGATACACAACATCTGGATCTGTCTCTTCTTCTCTGTTATGTAAGTTTGACAGCCGAGCTGCCTGCCTGCCTCCTTACCTCGGACATTGCATCCATCCCCTTGGTCCCTTGTACCACACCCGAACCCCACCACAACTGACACCAGCAATCCGAACGCAACCCCTCCATTCTCCCACCTTTTCCGCCTCTCCCGACTGAAAACAAACTCACCACTCACTCATCAGCCTTTCCAGTTGCGCCGAATCCACTTGATCTGCCACCAAGCATTGGCTTGTCTATGCAGCAACAGACAGTGTGGCAAGCAGGAGACGAGCAGCACACAAACGGCATACCTACAAGCAGGATACAAGCGGCATACCAGAGCCATCCCTGGTGCCACCAGCCTCCGAAACCGGGTCATACCTTGTCTATTCGAGCCACGCCGACTACCCAGAGTCGTGTCCCGTACCGCCCAAAGCACCCATTGTTTCGCAGCGACGTCTCAACGAAGTAGTGGAAGGGGTCCACTGGGACCAAAGGAAAACTAGAAGCAAGAATTAAAAAAAGGTCAAAGTAGCTGCACACAAGTCTTGCTATCAAGACTAAGACCAATCCATAAAAAAAAGTCGGCTCTTTCTTCACTTGACCTGCCCCAAGTACAAGTCAGACCAACATCAACTACGCTACGGACGGCTTGTATTGCCATCAAGATACATTTCATCTCCTGTCGAGCATCGCGAGATACCTAAGCCAATAATTCAAAATGTCTAGCCCAAGGCGCCGCATAGAGACAGATGTGAGTTATCTTACATCCTTACACAGCTAGCATAGTCAGTCCCTCTGTTTGCTAACACAGTTGCTTGTATAGGTCATGAAGTACGTATATGGGCGGCAAGAGCTCAGACGATAGTCAAAATGGCATACTAATAGCGCGTATAGGATGTACGAAACACTTATTCCGAGAACGGAGCTTGGATGCCCTAGATACTGACTCTAGTGGTCTAGGCTAATGAGCGACTATGAGGTCACGTTGGTTAATGACAACAGTATGTCACTATCACTCACCACTATGATCGAAAGTTGGGACATCCACTAACCACATTTATGTAGTGTGAGAAAACGATCTTTCCCATTCGATTACGCTCCATTTCTCAGCATCCTGACATCCATAACTAGGCAAGAGTTCTATGTTCGCTTCAAGGGGCCATCAGAGAGTTAGTCTCCGCAATCACTTGTCGAGCCCCCGCCGATGCTAATTCCACCCAGCACCCTTTGAGAACGGCGTCTGGAAAGTCCACGTCGAACTACCCGATCAATATCCCTACAAATCTCCGAGCATTGGATTCGTGAACCGCATCTTCCACCCCAATATTGACGAGTTGTGAGTGGTCCCAGCTATATCGTTTTGTTCTCCATCGAGCTTTTAACTAAACGAAATATTCGCGCTAGGTCGGGCTCCGTCTGTCTCGATGTAATCAACCAGACTTGGTCACCCATGTTCGATATGATCAACATATTCGAAGTCTTCCTGCCGCAATTACTGCGGTATCCCAACCCAGCAGACCCTCTGAATGGCGAAGCTGCTGCCTTGTTGATGCGGGAACCTAAGAGTTACGACGCTAAGGTGAAGGGTAAGACCTCAATCCTTAACCCTTCCGCCTATTATACGCTTTGTAATTGACAGTAGTTTTGAAACATAGAATACGTCCAAAAGTACGCAAGTAAGGACGCCGTGGACGAGGCCGGAGCCGAAAGCGAAGACGACGACGACATGTCCTCGGTTGCCAGCTTCGGCGATGATGACGACGATGAACCTGCGGGTCAGATGGACGACGTATAGGGACAGTTGTCTGCCATGGCTAACGGCGTCATGACGTCGATAGATTCCGCCGTTGCCGCTAATATGTCGCCATATTATGGAAATATCCCTATAGCTCTAGATGGGGCGACTACTGACATGTTGGAACAAAGCGCACAACAGAGATACACTACCGCCGGTACCAGTGAGGAAACAGCAGGTACAGATAGCGAAGAGAGACAGACTGGGGAGATGAGACGGGAAGATTAGTCTCTCTCTGCGTTTTCGAATTTTCATTCAGCATGCACACAACACGACACGCACAGATACACACATGGGATTCAATTCTTTACTGGAGGGAGTTTAACTGGGTCTTTTTTCAAGTATCAAATTACATGGGAATTCGTTTTCCGTGGCTGGCTGGAGTTTGCATAACCGAGATCAGATCCCTTTTGAGGGATTGTATGGACCGATTGAGTGATCGATTGATAACTTTGTATGGGATTCATTGGTTTGGGTTCGGGTTCGGTTCGGATGGGTTGATTGCTTTTAGGTTTTAACTTCTTCGGGCAACTTCTGATATTATTTTATTCCTCCTTTTTTCCTAGACCCTTTGATCTAAGGTTGAGAAAAGCCCTGCGCGGGCGGGGGGGGGGGGGGGGGGGGGGGGGGGGGGGGGGGGGGGGGGGGGGGGGGGGGGGGGGGGGGGGGGGGGGGGGGGGGGGGGGGGGGGGGGG